GCAGAAAAGGCCTTGACTCTGTGTAAGCACTGCTCAGCAGTAATGAAAACATCCCTGTGTTATCAACACTGTTTCCAGCACAAATCCAAAACACAGCCCCATACTAGCTACTGTGAAGAAAATTAACTCTACCCCAGCCAAAACCAGCACACAGTGTATGCATGACTCAGTTTGATTTGATTAGTACTTATATATTGTGTTTTCATGGGAAGGTTTTGGTAGCAGGGGGATGCAGGCATGACTTCTGTGAGAATTGATCAGGACCTGCCCCCATGTTGGACAGAGCCAGTTCTAGCTGGCTCCAAAACAAACCCACTACAGGGCACAGCTGAGCAAATCAGGCAAGCTGGTGGCACCTCTGTGTTAACATATTTAAGAAAGGGTAAAAAATGCTGCACAACAGAAGCTGAAAGAGAGGAGTGAGAAAAAGTGAGAGAAACAACCCTGCAGACACCAAGGTCAGAGAAGAAGGAGTGGGAGAAGATGCTTCAGGCACTGGAGCAGAGATTCCCCTGCAGCCTGTGGAGAAGACCATGGTGATGCAGGTTGTCCCCCTGCTGGAGGGGGATAATCTGCTGGAGCAGATAACCACCCTGCAGCCCATGGAGGACCCCACGCCGGAGTGGGTGGATGTGCCCTGAAGGAAGCTCTGACCCTGTGGAGAGCCCATGCAGGAGCAGGTTTCTGGCAGGAACTGTAGCCCGTGGAGAGGAGCCCGCACTGGAGCAGGTTTGCTGGCAGGACCTGTGACCCCATGGGGCGCCCACACTGGAGCAGTCTGTTCCTGAAGGACTGCACCCCATGGAAAGGACCCTCACTGGAGCAGTTCGTGAAGAACTGTAGCCTGTGGGAAGGACCCATATTGGTAAAGGTCGTGAAGGACTGACTCCAGTGGGAGGGACCTGATGCTGGAGCAGGGAAAGAGCATGAGGAGAAAGGAGCAGCAGAGACAAAGTGTTACAAACTGACTGCAACCCCCATTCCCTGTCCCCCTGTGCTGCCTGGGGGAGAGGAGGAGGTAGGAGAGTCAGGAACAAAGAAGTGAAGTTGAACCAGGAAGTAGGGGGGTGGGGGGAAGGTGGTTTTAGTTTTGTTCTTATTTTGCACTTTCCTACTCTATTTTTAATTGGCAATAATTTAAATTAATTTTCCCCAGGTCGAGTTTGTTTTGCCCATGATGATAACTAGTGAGTGATCTCCCTGTCTTTATCTCGACCCATGAGCTTTTTCATCCCATTTTCTCCTCCTGTCCTGCTGAGGGGGAATGATAGAGTGGCTTGGTGGGCACCTGGAAGCCAGCCAAAGTTAAATGACCACAACTTATATATTTCTCTGTCTCCTCATATATTTAAATACTGCGAAAGTGTTGAGGATACAGTAAAAGAGTGAAAACGATAGTTAAGAACAGGTCACTTATTTAAAATTAAGTATGAACTTTTAAATAAGGCCATAATCAAGAATACCTGTTAGTGGATGGTACATCAGAGAGTTATGTCAGTAATAATAATGCAAAGATGAAATGCTAGATTAAGCAAGATATTTTATTTCAAAACATGAATGTTGGAGACTGTTCCTTCACTTCTGTGATGTACCACTGAAATTACTAGACTCTGAGAAGTCTTAGATTTATCATAGGCAGATTGCAGTGCAAGGAGTTATTCTGTTTATTACAGATATGTTTATAATAGCTTCAGCATTACCCAGAAAATACTGTTCTTCGCATGTTATTAGTTGGACATAATTATACCTCTTAGATACTGCAATGAAATGCAGACTTACAGATAATTATGGTGTTTCTAAAATAGTGGGTAGATAAAAGGTTTACAATGTTATCAGAAACAACATTCAGATATGTTTATAGTTTTGAGTATAAATAGAAAAGGTGTCTAGCACTGATTAGAAGAACCTAAACTTATTGAGGTTAAAAGAAAATGAGATCATTTTACAAGTTAGATCAATTTCTTACTAGCATATATTGAGGAATCTGCATGTACAAAGTTTTTGCTTACATAATCAGTGGTTTAATGTGTTCAGTTTTGATTCACGCTAACGCTGCCTTATTGTTCTTTGCGCAGCAGTTGTATTGTCGTTTGCGCGGCAGTTCGCGCAGGCAGGGCGTGCAGGGAAGGCGAGCAGGCAGGGCGCAGACCCCCTCCTGGCTCTAGAGGCCAACTCAACTAGTAGTCGTCACCCTCCCAGACGAGGACCAGCTATGGTTTCCACTTAGCCAAAAGCCGTCGTCAGAAGGAATGTGGCGACCCAGATGGAGCCCTCACGCAAGCCTACAGCTGTCCAGGTCTCTGGCTGCAGGGAGTGCCTCAGCCTGTCACTTGTACCGGAGGGCAGCAGAAACACCACCTGTGTGCGGTGTGACCAGGTGGATGATCTGCTCGGCCTGGTGGCAGAGCTGAAGGAGGAAGTGGAAAGGTTAAGGAGTATCCGGGAGTGTGAGAGGGAGATAGATTGGTGGAGCCGCACCCTACCGTCCCTGAGGCAAAGGCAGCAGATGGAGGCTCCACAAGAAGCAGAGGATCCCCTGCCCTCTTGCCACCAGGCAGAAGGAGGGGACCTAAGTGACGGGGGGGAATGGAAACAGGTCCTTGCTCAGGGTGCCAGG